GGGATGAACATCGCGATTGTTTTAGGCGCGGACGCGCGAGAAGAGTTCTCGAGTCGATCGGGCACGCTTTGCGGCGACTCGAAAGGTGCGTTCCGTTTCACGCATGATGCGCATAATGCATCATTTATCTTTATTTAACATCGAGTAATTAACAAGGATTAACGATGCATTATGTGTGCATCATGCGTGAAACGGAACGCACTCCGAAGTAAACTTTGAAACAACGCGGGATGAAAATCGCGAGTTATTAGGCGCGGAACGCGCGGGAAAACTTGCAAAACGCGGGACAAGGCAACGAATAAAACGTAATCATTCTTTTCTTCCCTTTCGCCACTTGCCTTGAACACTTGATAGTTTGAAGTGAAGATTTGCGATACGCCTCGCGCCTCCGATGTTGTTCCTGGCGAACGCCTGGAACGCGTCGCCGAGAGCAATATTCCCGAGTATATCGATACTCGAAAGCCGACTCTGTGCCCACTGAAGAGTGTTATTATTAGCGAACGACTAACTGGAATTAATTTAGCAACAGTTGCAATTTAGTTTTCGACCAAGTGAAAGACAACGTTTATTTTAGATACGCAGAATATCGAGTCGACGTAAAAACAAGTCGAGTTGGTTTTACATCGTTAATCCACACTGGGTTTCGATTGCAAAACTCGCCGGAGATAAATCTTCTCGGGCCACGGAGCTATTTAGCATATACGCGATTTATGTTATTGACGAAAAACGCCGCTACTTTCGCGCGCATGAGACGCACAATTTCCTGACACACTGCCTACTCGGTTCCTATCATCCCCGATCTGCATATTAATGCAACGATACATCTAATAAGAGATGAAAGTCACACCTAGCTCTTTTACAGATTTTAATGTCAAGATTGTTGAAAGCCTCTCCAGTTGATCGAGTCGATTCTCGCTAAAAAAAACGACTATGGATCGTAAACCGACCGGAAAAAGAGGTCGTCGCCCATGCAATTAGAAAGATATTTAATTTTCGAGTATTCAGTTTGACCACTTTGACAAATACGCGTGGGGCCCGTGGATCTGACACAACGGATCTCGGCCTAACATCGTCGAGCTTTGTTCTCGGTCCCGAAACTCACAACGCATCCAGCGGCTGAGAAAGATTCATCACGCGGGACCATCCACGAAGAGAGATCCGTCCCCGAGGATTTCGGAGTCGGCCCGATCGACCGGCGGCGATCGAGGAGCGGATCGGCGGCGGTGCGGTGCGGCGGCCCGGAGCTCTCGGCTCACCCGTTACTCGTCCAGTGTGCTCTGCGGGAGGGAAAAGGGGAGAAGGGTGAGGGGAGCGGGAGGAGGAGAGAGGGTCGAAGAACAGGAGGGGAAGGAGAGAGAGAGAGAGAGAGAAGCAGAGAGACGCGGTGAGACTGTGCGAGGCACAGCGCACAGGTAAAACAAAAAGTCGGGAAAAAATTGAAAACCAGTCTTATGCAGTCGGTAGTCCGGACTACCCGACCGTCAGCGGACTCATTCTCTCTTTCTCCCTCTTTCTTCCCTCCTTCTTAGCGAGTACCTCTCGTCCTCTCTCTCCCTTCCTCTCTCCCCTCGTCATTCTCGCTCGCGCTCTCCCGTCGCGCGCGCTCGTTCTCGCTCTTCTCTCTTCTCCATCTCCACCGAAGAGATCCGCGACGGCACAACCACCACCACCACCACCACCACCACCGTCGGCAGCGGCGGCGAGCGCTGCCGCCGCCGTCGCCACCACCTCCTTTTCCTCCTCCTCTTCCTCCTCCACCTCCACCACCTCCTCCTCCTCCTCCTTCCGCTTCTCTGCGGTCCTCGCGGTCCACGCTCTTCCTTAATTCAGTCCAATGAGAGCCGCTCTTCGATTCGTCACACCCGCCGACAAATCTCCTTTCATTCTCTGTTTTCCTCTCTCCTTCTCCGTCGCACCTGCCTCGCGGAAGATCGCCGGCAATTTTCGAAAAAGTGACGACGGACGTTCTCCAGCGCGTTCTCCCCCTCCCCTCGACGTCGATCCCCCGCGGCCCGAGCGAGCGATCGCGATCGCGATCGGGGATCGCGATACGCACGACGCAAGTGCGTCGCGATGCGTCGCAACGCGGTAACGTCGTAACCCGCGGCGGGTGCATCCGTACGGAATTCGCGGTGCCATCCTGCGCGCCGGATGGGACACGCCGAGCGCGCCGCCGCCAAGCAGGAAGAGGATCCTCGCGGAAGACGGACGCTGGCCACTTGGCGGGTTTGTTTTGACGACGGTTCACCGTGCGCGCGAGAGGCTGCGTCGCAAACGCGCTCCGATATTAGTGCGCGATTTCCCTGACGACGTCGATCGGCACACGTTGGAGGACGCGCGCGATCGATCGATCGATCGATCGGCGATCCTACCTGTCGGCGAGCCGCGCATTCCCGTCGAGCTCTCAAGGGACCACCACGTCTCGTCCCGTTTTCTGCGCGTCTAGTGCCGGTGCATCTTGTTCTGTGCTCCGACGATCTCTCTCGTCGACGTTCAGCTCGCGCGCAGGAGCGAGAGGCGAGCGGATCCACCGTTCGTCGCGCGCGGTTTGACGACCCGCTGAAACCGCGGAGGCGCGCTCCTCCTAGAGGATGCGAGCAAGGATTTCGCCTCTTGCTGAGGAAACATGTCCCGCGGCGGTCGTCGCAACGCGCGAACCGGTTGCGCGCTCTTAAAATAGTTTCTCACGCGCGTAGGTAACTGGCGCGCACCGCGCCGTCCCGCTGCTGGAACACGACGCCGCCGGAGCAGTGCCAGGTAAATATCGATCGGCTCTATCGCCGTTAGATAGATCCCCCTCCCCCTCGCTCCTCGTCGTCTCCCCCCCCCCCTGCCCCTCCGCCGACGACGAGAGCGCGCGAGAAAGATCCGCCCGGATCCGCCGCGATCGCGATCGCGCCGGATCGCGGCGGCCGGCCGGCCTCCTCTCCCTGTGATCATGGAAAATAAATAGCTCGTCTCCAATTAAAGAAGCATTCGAAATTCGAACGCGATCGAATTCCGATTCCCCCCCCGACGGTGCTATTATCGGCCGAGGAACTGCGGAGAACTCCGTCTCTTCCGAGATCGTCTTCCCTCCTCCACCGCGGTCCCTCAGAAGAATCGTTTCTCCAAGAGTTTGCTTGTTGACGGAACACGAGAAGAAATTCGTTTCGGCGGAACCCGAGGGGAAACCCCCTATCGCCGCCGTCGTAATTTTTCCTCGGCGAGGCTCCTTCCTCCTTTTCCTCCAGTTTCGCCGAAAGTCGATTAAAGAGAAGCGAGCTATTTTTGACGCGGGGGTGTCGGTTCGGGCGCCGCCGAACAAAGCGTTGCGCCGCGTGATCGATCGATCTATTTGCATCCGCGGCATTCGCGGAATCGTCGCGGGATCGCGAGAGGGTTTCGCGATCGTCGGCGCGGGCGCGATTCCGATACGCTTGTGTGCGCGCCTTACCGACTCCCGAGCCGCGATCGCTTATCAATCCGCGTCAATTGAGAGACGCACATCGCGGCCGGGCGCGCTCGGTCATGCTTCTATGAGAACGCGATCGCGTCGGAATTATCCTCAATGATCGATCTATATTCGCGGTGACGGTCAAACGCACACTTTTTCATCCATCCGGTTTCCAGTTCCCGAGAAAGCCGCGCGAGACGCAAATGCAGCCGCGACGCATCGCCGCGCGCTTTAAGGACGTTCATCGGTAAATCGCTCTTCTATGTACTTGCTGCAAATTTGGACCATATGCTGTTAATAGTGTTATCTATATGCCTGCTCAATTTTAAAAACCGTGTCCGTACCGAAGTCGAGATATTCAGCGTCAAAGTCACTCGTATAGTATACGCGAGACGTACGTGTTCTGCAGCGATATTTTAATTTACTGTGATAGAAATGGTTTATATATTTTGCTAAAAAACTAACCTATGATGCACAATAATATTAGAAATGATATATTACCGAGGGGGAAACCGCAGAGGGCATTGTGGCGTACAGATTTGGGGCATTACTAGGCATTTTTTGGGCATTTTTGGGCATTAGTTTGGGCATCAGGCCTTGCTGGGGCATTATAAACATAAAATAAGATAAAACAAGAAAACTAAGATAAAATAAGATAAGATAACGTAATGCCCGCTGGGCATTAATGGGCATTGGTGTACAAGATTTTGGCCAGCGGTTTCTCCCTCGTGTATTACAAGATGGGGATACGTAGCCGTACCGTTTATGCGCGATTCGAAATTCTCCATCTGGCGATATTTCGAAGCGTGTCGGCCAATACATTCACAAAGGCAACATTATTCAGAGTTGCGTTAATTACGTAGCGTGTATAATTTACGCTAAAAGTCGCGAAGTAGGGAGACGGTCGCGCTATACGGAAAGAAAACCGAACGTGGACGAAAACTTTTGGCCGCGATTACAGCCGATGAACGTCCTTAAGTGAATCTTTCCGAGTATCGGCCGCACATCGAACGCTAATTCGATTAGCGCTCGAACGCACTTGCCGAAACTCCGACCCGAGGCTCGCGGCTCTCCTTCGGAGTAGAAAAGTCCACGGACCCGTGACGACGTTTTGGTACACAGAACGTCGTAAATCAGTCATCGCACCTCTGTTTGCGCCCAATTAGCACGCAACGCGACTATTCTGAGTTACGTTCGAATGAATATCGTTGACACAAGAATTGCATTCGCCGCAAGCAAGAAGCGATAAAGCGTTCTAAGTTCGGCATTAGCCCGAGTCGAAATTTTGGTACTATTTTGACACTTTTAAGAATAGTTTTACACCTGCTTAGCTGATCTATACACTTACCTACACCAGCAGTAACCTACTTTGATGACGTATTTTTTTACTCCTCCCTTGTATACTCAATTCTGAAAATTTACTTTAGCTCCTACTTAAAAGGACCCACTTTAATGCTAAATTGGAAAAAGAAAAATTTCCGATACTATCGGTTTTAAAGTAGGAGTAAATTGTGTACTTTGCAGTTCGATCTCTTTTACTGTCTTAGGTCCTACTGTATAATAGAATTAAAGGTTCAACGTAGGAAACATGTGGCGATTCTAACAGGAAGTAATTCGTAAAACAAAATGAACAGATTCCGTCAAATATCGCAGTCAACTTCTTCGGAAGTGCCTTCCGTGTGGTTATCTTCGGGTTTTCCACCGTTTTCTTCAACAGAATCGCGATTCGGCTATCGCGGCAACTGCACTACACGCGAATAACGGCTTCGCTGTTAATCGACATCCTTAATGGCTCATTTAACGTCAAATGTGACCGTCCCGTTCGGACTGCCTCTTGTCTATTATTAAGATGCAATTCGATGTTATCACAGGCTGTGTCGCAGCCGCGTTTTAACGCTCAGCGCGCGTTTTAAGTGCGGGGTCGCTCGATGGCGAGCGAGCCGAGGCTCGGTTTCGCGAGCGTGTCTCTCGTGTGCCCGGTAATTCCTGCAATAACCGAAAATAATAATACGGCGGACGACACCGTAAATGGCAGCGATAGCGCAATAACGGCGCGATGCCAATTGACAGCGATGCCTCGATAACACGGATATTAACGCACGAAGGAGGTCACCAGACCTGCGACCAGGAATGGTGGACGATCGAGTTTCAGCGTCCACACCGGTCGTCCCGCATCGTTGAATCGACGCGGTTTCGCTTTAAGGGGATCCTAAAGCCGCCTGTTTTATCGACATACTTTGTTAGAAGTAATCTTTCAATTGGCTTTATAGAAATGCAAAACTCTTTTACGGAATTTAAGTACGCAGCAAAATCTAGGACTATGCTGGTCGACTTGATATCAAAAACGAGAAAAAATAAAATTTTTTACCAATTTTTGGTACACTTGACGACAACATTCGCTTGATACAAGAATTGTACAAGAAATATATATAAAATGAGACCAGCATACTCTATCTAATATAAGAACAATATTGTGCAATTAGAACTAAGATTAATAGCCTAGAAAAAAAGATTACTTCTAATAAACGCAAGTCCAGAACATCTCTCAGATTGTCAGTAAAGCCATGGCGTTGATGCTAGAATTCGATCCAAAATCTCGGTCTGAGAAATGTGCGGCTAATAAAATTGCTACTTTTTCGTAAAAGTTGCAAATTGATTGGCTATAAATTTCTCAGGTAGACCGAGTAGAACTTGCAATTAAAAATGTTGATAATTGACGTTTTTAATTCCGTCTCCTGTCTTATCCACACTGATCGAGTTCGCCAGCGGCTTTAGGATCCCCTTTCTCTCTAGCGGCTCTAGGATCCCCCGGCTCTCAGGAAAAATGTCATTTGTCCGTTCAGCGCGTGGTCCAAAGATAGGATCTAAAAACTTAGAAGCGACTATTCTTCGTCGTCCAATTAATCGCGGTTGGTTTGATCAAGATATTTAGCAAGCGGTCATATGGCGAGATAAGAAAAATGGTCACAGTATGGTAAAACTTGAATCTGCGAGTTGTTGCGTCACGGCAAACGCGACGTGAAAAAAGGCTGACCTTCTGCGAAATTCGACTCCGATTCCACCGAAGCCGGGAGCAATTTTAACCCTTCCCGATTAAGCGATTTGAGTTGTATACGTGCGCGCCAACTGATTTTTTCATGCGAGCGAAACGCGGACACGCGCTCCCCCTTCTTCGAACGTCGCCGGAACGAAGAGTAAAGATTAACCGTCTAAATACCCTTTGAGTGCTACTCCCGAAAATATATCCCGTGTTTGTTTGAACGTTTCATCTCGCGTCGAATCGCACCATTTTTCTCCGACAGCGGAAAAATTCGTTCACGTTTAAAGGATTACGCGCCTGCACTTGTGGAACGAGGGCGGGCGAGGAGGAAGGAGACGGAGGAGCTTACACTCCAATAGTAACAGAAAATGATTGGAAAGTCTTCCTCCGCCGTGCGAACGCGGTGTACACGAACAGACACGTAGGTAGAGATACCAGGCTTGCCGCCGCCTTCTACGAAGGCGATTGGCGTTTGTTATTGAAGTTATTCCATCGCCTCGGGCCAGAGAACGAGAGGCGAGGCTGCTGATCGTGAGTGCCAGCAGCAGCAGCAGCGGCGGCGGCGGCGGAGGCAGCACGCCTGTCCCTGGATGACAAACATCCAACATTTCGCTCGCGAGATGGAATTTTTATTAAAACCGTCCGATCGCGCCCGTCTCCACGTACGCGGTGTCCCGAGCGTACCACGCGCGCTCATTCATTCCGCTTCGCGCGATCAGCAGCCTCTGGCGAGAACATACGTTAAACAGAAAAGGTACACGGAAAGAACAATGTAGCTGCTGTAGCTAAAACTTAGCAAAATAGGGACAGCTAATATTTTTAGTTGTGATAGCTCAATATTTTGCTACGACAGCAAACCGTTTGCCGTCGCACCTAATACAATAGGCACAGTAGCAAAATATTATGCTATCACAACTAAAATATTAGCTGTCCCTATTTTGCTAAGTTTTAGCTACAGCAGCTACATTGTTTTTTCCGTGTACAGACCGACGAACAAACGGAACGGCAAAATGCAGAAAGGTTTTTCGACGATCAAGTATCGTCATTTCGTTTCAATGGTGACATCGTATTGTCTACAAGACCACGTGACAGTGGCCAAGAGGCCACCCCGTCAGCCATTCACTCAAATCCCTAAGATGATTTGTTGAAAGGGGAGCTAGGTATGGTTTCCGAAAGCCGCCATAATCCACAGTAGCTATCTACATGTGGTGTCCCTTTTCTAGAAATAGAAAAGCTTCTTTCATCAGACTCGGGTCCGAGTCAATACGTTATAATATAGAATAGAATGTAAGAGCAAATTTCACAAAGAACATCATTTGAATTCACACGGTGAAAGCGGAAGCCTCCGTTATTTTTGCCGCTTACCGTATGGTGAGCGTAATAGGATTGACGAGTAGCCTCTCGTGCGGGAGTTAAGAGTCGTTAAAAAACTCTCAATTCCGCAGACAACCATAAAAATATTCCCAAACTCTCGGATTCTTCAATTTAACACGCAGATACGCTACGTCAGATAATAATTTGGAAATAATAATTTCATTGTTATTTCCACCTGGACCGACGAGCTACGACGAAGGTATTTAAACAATTTAGATCGCCGAAGTGTGACTACTTTTGCCGGCGCACAAAAGAGCGGGGCAGATAATTACCTGGAAGCCATCGTAAACTTCGCTCCCCAGTGGTCGGTGTGCCTTTCGTTTAAGAATGACACAGGACCATTTCGAAATTAGAGAGTGGGGGGGTCCCTTCCCTTAAAGACTACAGTCGTCCCTGCCCTCAAAATTTCTGTCATTAGTCTACCATAAGAATCTGCCGTGGTGGGTTCTGTCGGTAGTGTTCGGCGAAACGTGGACGGTAACAGATTGGAAAGTGATCCGAAATATACGAGTATAAAGTATACGGCAAAGAAGCGCGTAAAATTTGAAAAATTGAAATAAAATAGAAATCACAATTTCTTAAAAAAAAAAGATTTGGCTAGAAATGAGAAACTGAAAACAGGTATTTTTAACGCGCGGGAGGTGAAACATGCGAAATGTAAGTGTGAAAACATTTAACGTAAAATACACGTATAAAAGTGTGAACGGTAGCTTCGTGTCTTCAAATACATATGTACATAAAGAGAGACAACCAAGTTATACGCGGATACAATTGTTTAAAGAGTGTGTACGTGTGCGTGATCCAGAATCAAACTTCGCTAGAGACAAACTCTGCTTGCGCCTAAAAAAAAAAACAATGAGACTGAGTACCTTGGGAATATCGAGATTATTTAGGTTGTCATGATTTTTAATAAATTTTTCGTTTAACGAACGGCGCGTACGCAACTATATATTCCGATGCTGCCTTTTCTCCTCTTAATCCTGGAATTAATTCTCAGTGACGTTTAATAGCGTATTAATAAACAGGAGATGTGGAAACGTGTGGAAAGCGAGCGTGAAAGTCGCTGCCAGCAGCGACACGCACGGGATCGAGTCGCGCCTTTTCAATCGCCGCGTGTAACAGGTCGTTGTAGTGGAACTCTTTTCCAATAATAATTCACCCGAGATATCGTAGGACGCAATTATGCGTGATATAAATAGATTCTTAATGGGCGTGCGTTCGAAAGGTGCAATTATTGCACGAACGATCGTTTTGCATTCGATTAATGTCGTCTCCTTCGCCTGCCCGTTATCTGGCCAAGTATTGCTCCGGGGAATAACTTGTAAAGAGACATAACAAGTTTGAAAATGAAGAGTGCGATCGCCACGTTCGCTCGGCGATCATAAGCATTTTGAAAAATTACTTTCTAACTTGTAGCAAATTTCTGCGTTTTGATGCTTCGCTATCGTACTTTTTCTTTTTACGAAAAACCAAGGGGTAGACCGCTGAGGGCATTGTGATGTACAGATTTGCGGCATTACTAGACATTTTTTGGGCATTAGGCCTTGCTGAAGTATTATAAAATAAGATAAAATAAAATAAAATAATAAGATAAAGTAATGCGCGCTAGGTCGCATCAGTAGGCATTGTTGTACATGATTTTGGTCAGCGGTTTTACCCTTTGAGAAAAACTTCACCAATGAAGGTCTCAATCATTGGCGCAGTAAAAATCAATCGCATTCTGTATATATGAAATAGACTCATGTCTTCAGGCAATAGAAGATAATTTCTACGCAGAACGTATTCTAATTCTCTCAAGAATGTGACTTTCTCCGTCTGTATTTGCGTTTATAACTTTAAAGAAAATCCTCTTTTATCCGCCTTACCGCAACAAATGAGCTCCGGGATTTCCGCGACGGTTCCTTCGCGCAGGAAGCGAAATCACTTCCACATCCATTAGCAAAGAGACCCCGAATTTGCGAAGGCTTAAACGAGTTTAAACGGTGACCTCGGCGTTATCCCGGGAACGGAGAGGCGCAACATTACGCTGATTGCTCGGGTTAGCACGTTATAGCAGCGCTCGCGCAGGAGAGGAGACTGAAATTTCATTCTTTTTAGCACGCGTTCCCGCTTAATGACACCCTGACTCACGTTCGTGAATATTCTTAATAATCTTAATCGAGCCTCGTCGGCATAATCGTTCCACTCGTCTCTGTAACGCCACTCCGGGAGCGGCGCGAGCAGGGAAACGTTATAATCCGTATACCGTCTGGCATCTACGGGTAGGATAAACAATAATCCACGTACGCGTGGGGGAACAGTGCATATAAAAATCACGTGGACTGCGGTTGAACGCGGCCGTATAATTTTCAGCGGTAATACGATCAAGTAGGTCTGTGGTTTGGCTTTTAGTACCGTCAGACTATCCGCAATTTCTACTCTAAAGTTTTAGTGGAAAATCTTCCCACGTAAAGAAAATTATATTCCGTACATTCTACAACGATCAGCGCACTCGAAAATATTGCAGTATCGTTAGAAAGTTGAGCTGCTTCATTTCAGAAAGTTTATATGCTTATTGATTACCCCTACAAGATGATTTTGTTGCTTCAAAGATTCAAACAAACGGAACGGCGCGTACACTTTTGATAAGAATATCGCGAATACCGCTGAAACAGTGAAGTCTATGAAAATAAATGAAACAACATTCTCTTACAACTTGGGATTCCGAATTCCAAACTGTTCTTGAAATTGCTCTATTTCTTTTCAGTTATTTTAGAAGAAATATCGTTGAGTTAAGAATTTTTTCCAAATTCTTTTAGTTACGTAGAAAATATCGTATATGACTTTTATTTTATTTGCATCGAACGTTTTTGTCTTCCATTTAATTGCAGAATTTCTATATTTCTTTATTTAAAAATTTACAATGTACAAAACTACTCAAGTCATTAATGACTCATTCAATGCAAAGTTTTCAACTAGTAATAGTCATATAGTAAACTGCCAGTTTCTATAACATATAATTTAAATACCTTATCATTTATATTACACAGTAATTTCAAGAAATTACTTGAAACCGAGAGATCTCATAGTCTTATCGTTTGTCTATATTTATTTATTATATATATCTAGGACTTTTCTTGCCTTTATTTCGCTTCCAAGTCTCCTTGCTTCTATTTATTTTTCTTCGGTGTACGTGGACATGAAATGATATCCACGAAGTGAGGTGTTTTGTGCAGCCAGTACAAGTTAAACGGAAGTAAACTAAGCATCGAATCTATCCCGAACAGGATGACGAGTTGGAGCGCATTGTTCATCGCGGCCGCCGTCGGGATTCTGTTGCTGATGACCACGACCGAGCGCTCGGAAGCGTGCAACGAGGCGATTTGCGCCAGCGTCGTGAGCAAGTGCATGCTCACGCAGAGCTGCAAGTGCGACCTGGTCACCTGCACCTGTTGCAAGGACTGCTTCTCGTGTCTGAGCTACCTGTACGATGAGTGCTGCTCGTGCGTAGGTAAGACGCCAATCGTCGAGGACAATCGAATCCCGTTTGATATCTCAATTCACCAGACGTACCGGTATATCGTATCGTTATTGGGAAACAATCGCTCCTAATAAAACAGTGTTCTATTAAAAGCTGTTAAAACTAACAATTATAGGATGTGTACGATATTGAGCGTTCAGTTGCCGAAATGGATACACTTTGAGAAAGTTGGATAAAATCAAGATTGAAATTGTAGCTACATCGATTTTTTAACAACAATTTTCTTGTGTATCTTCCAAACAAATGAATTTAATTAATTTTGCTATTAATTGTTTTAGTACACAAAAATTTTCAAACTAGGCTCGAAATATTTTATAGATTTATAAAGAGAATTCGGACAATCATTCTGCGACGTTGAATGATCGGAAGAAGATTTAATTTACGTTAAAAAGTTTCCAAATCGTGAAATAAAATGCAGTCCAAACTATAGACAAATAAAAGTACATAAAACTGAGAATATTAAATATGTCTCGTTAGATAACCAGCCAGAATCGACATTTCATAAATGTAGGAAAATAGGCATTGCATTGCTCGCCACTGTAATGTGCTATGTAATCGAAAATCGTCATATTTGAACAGCCGTTATAAATTTCTGGGCTAGAATAAACAATTTAAAAGATAGAACCTTCGGTCGCTGTTTCAAGAATATTCTCTGTGACTAAAACACCTCGGTATCACTGCTCAAATAAGATGTATAATAATTATAAATTGTTAAACGTTACTAGCGATTTTCAATATTCATCGGAATATTCGTGAGAGGAAACGAGCAGATACCTAAAACCTTCAAACCACTTATCCGGTCTTATCCTACTTTTCTCTGGGGTAAAAAAAAAGCGGAGATAATTTCCGAACGTCCTACATAAGTGACGTAACACCTTTCCGTGGGTGCGCAGATCTATGCCCGAAGCCGAATACCACCGACAACCCGTTGAGCAAGAAATCTCACGTGGAGGAGTTCAGCGAGCCGGTACCGGCGCTCTTCCAGGCACTCACGGCCGAGGCGGACCCACACGAGAGATGGCTCACCTTCACGTATCCGGTAGACTTTGACTTGACGACGTTCGCGCCGAAACATGGCAACGAAATGAAATATCGTCTGCGTGAGTATCGAAATTGCGTCAATAAATTTACTAACCAAATAAGCCTCGACAGGCTGATCCGTTAAAGGTTCCATTAAAGATAGTTAAGCTCATAGAGACGCGAGTGACGTCGATTAATTCGCGCGATGTTGATTAATCGCGAGTTAACGACACGTTTCGGTTGGCAGAATCCGCGAACGAGGAGCTGCATCCGCTAAAGCCGAACGTGATGACGTTGAACTGCACGGTCGCGTTCATGGCGCAGTGCAACTCCTGGAACAAATGTCGTGCGTCCTGCCAGAGCATGGGCGCCTCGAGCTATAGGTGGTTCCACGACGGTTGCTGCGAGTGCATAGGCGATACGTGCCTCAATTACGGAATCAACGAATCGAGATGCACGCTGTGCTCGGAGGGAAACAAGGAGGACGACCTGAAGGACCCGCAGTACGACGATTACGGTCAGGACGAGGACGAGCTGGGCGAAGACGCAATGGATTAGCCGTCGCGTCCGTCGCTTCTTCTATTCCAAATATAATGCAACGGGGGGGGGGGGGGGAGAGATGTTTGCGTGAAAGACATTCCGACAGTAACGATCGCGACAATAAAGAATTCGTCATTTTATCATCGCGTAAAAGTGAGAATTCTAATCTTGATTGACACACTTAGAGTTTAATCCTTCGGAAAACCGTCCAGCGTTTGACTTCATGATGATAAATCAGTGAATCTGCGTTTTGGAATTACTCCGAGATGTCTGCCTCATAATTCGATTCTTTGCGAATTCGTTTGAAGGCGACTTTGAGTAGTCTCGAACACCGATCGCGATTGTGAAAAAGCAAGTGTTAACCTAATTTCAGTGTCTAGTTAATGAACTTAATAATTTAAGACGTCGACTACCGACAATACTGAAATATAATTACGTTTTGTCGAGCGCGACCAGGCACGACCTTGTTGGTAAGACCTGACTTTTGTATATGACTGTAACGACATAATATTGTAAATGTAGCCTCTTGTTTCTTTCTTCTTTTTTTTTACTAAGAATACACTCGGGCAACGCTAGGTTATTCGTACAACATCGAAAATCTTTATTATCGCATCCGTGCCATAAGTAAAATTGTACATACAACGAGTCTCTCTCGATCAGAATATCGAGATTGCTTTACACATGTGAGTTTTCTCTCGAAATTTTCCTGGGAGAGAATATTGTAGATTACAGTACCGCTGATAAATTTCCGGACATTCTGTATGATGATACTTGCAGGAACGGTTTTTAAGTATCCACTTACCGTTTGACGGAGTGTAATCTCATATCATACAAATATTTTATATAAAGACTCTAGTATTTATAAAAGAGGCACATAAAGGAATGACAAGTTAATGTTCAAAAAAATGTTAAAAACATTTAAAGTATAAACCGTAGAGGTAGGTTAACGATTATTTTATTTGATTTGATTTCTTTTTATGTAACACGCAGATATATTGCACGTTTATGTAATATAGGACACGTGTGAAGTGTTCGAAAATTTACGAGCGGTAGCATTGCGTATCTCTAGGGCAGTCGACGTGCACGCAGCGATTAGGGTAAGACGCGCCCGTTTCTTCGAGTGGAATGTGATATGCTTCGGAATCGATCGGGTGATATTTAACGAGATGCGTGCGAAGACACTCTCGAAGCTTGCGTTGTCCGGCGCGACAGAACGCGGATTAACAATCGCACGCGCGTGCACTTTGGTATCGAGAGAACAAAGAGTAATTTCCGCGAATGAGCGAAACGTTACTCCACAATTGGATCATTGCGTACATTTTTGTATATACGAGTTTTAACAACATACAGAACGTCCATTTCTTTTAACGCAGACGGAGCTACACTTCGTAACACTCATTGGACTAATAAAAACATTTTTGAATATGCTTTTTTAATATTAAAACTATCAAAGCAGACGAAATGACTGGTAATTTTTTTCACTCAAATTTGTGGTGAGTCTTCTAACATTTCCCCTGGCTTTTGTTTCAATATGTAAATAATTCGAATGACCAATCTTCCATAAATGACCATACTTTCTTCCTTCGTTCCTCTTTTCCAAAATTATATGTATAATATATGCTTAAATAGTAGAAATTAATCATCGATAGTGGCGCTTTTCTGCGAACTCCATCGCGCGTGATTTACCACGTTAAACATTACGAAGTGGACAGCCTGTATAACGTTCTTTATATATTTTTCTATCGTTAGTTGCACACTCAATATGCACGTACTAACTCGCGCCATCACAAATATCAAACATGTATACACCACAAATAAAATTGATCGCACCTGTAAGTGAATTCACGGGTCAACAAGCCTTACCGTGGCGACGATTTATTTTTATATCACCGGGCCACGTGAATCATGAAATACAGAAAATCTCTTCCAAGTGTGGTACAACTAGAAAGAAGATTTTCTCAAGTTAAAAAATAAAATATGAAGTAAAATCACCCTTGTGCAAGGCTGTGTTTGTCAAAAATGATTTCGGGAGAGAGTCTCCCGAGTTCATTTTATCTTTTCAAAGTGCAGAGCACTTCTTCGTTCACGATTCGGTGATCCAAAGATTGAGATTTTTCCGGATACATTTTGGATACAAAGCAAAAGTGTCAGATGTTTAAGTGGGTGGATGTTCATCTTGTACCTCGTTGCTCTCCGGCAACTTGATGAAGGACAGATCGCCGCCGCTCCACATCGAGTACAATTGCGACCTCGTGCACTCCTAGAATCAGCGACGTTTATGCTGCATGAGAGAGGAGAGCGAGAGACTAGCTTCTAACAACACCGAAGCGTCGTGTAACATAACGAAAGAGTGTAAATAGAAGAGTGCAACCGCAGCGAGTAAAAGTTATTCGTACGCCATCATTCTTTCTTTTCAACCGCGTACATCCTATGTGCGTATCATCTTGTAGCGTTGCATTTTAGCCATTTTATTTAATTTTCCTTTACACCTCTTGTATATATACGTAGAACTTATCTGTTACTCTGGACCGCGAAGTCCGAAGTTCGCGATGCGAAAGTGTCGGTGTACGAACACCTTTTTTTTCTATTCACTGGATGTCGGGTGCCTTGGAAGGCGCCAATTCAATAAACTTAGATTTACTAACATTGCACTCTCTTTTTCTTTCTCAACCTGCCCCTCTCTCTCACTCACTCGCTCTCACTCTCTTTCTCTCAAACAGTGAGAAAATAACTGATCTCGTTTATTTACCCCGCCACCCGCGCTTTCCGAACCCGATCGGCTGTGCGCCGAGACGCAGGAGTCGGTCGACGAGCTGCTCTTGCGAGACGGCAGTGTGTCCGCTGTACCTTCAAAGAAACGTTCGAGCTGAGATCATCGCGGTCGAGTTTCGGTCAAGCCTCAACTCGACGTTTTCGAAGCGCGAAACGAAACTTGAGCGGTAATAAAAGGAAAAGTAAGACGACCACGATATTTTTGGCGCACTCACCGGTCTCGGTTTCTCTATGATCGCAATGGGAGTGAATGCTGTCCTTGCTATCGCCGTGACTGCCGCTGGCGCCGCTCTGTTCTGTAGCAATATTACGACAGTATCAATCCCTTCGCGATCCCGTATCGGTTTAACAACTTTATCATCGTGACAAACGACCACGAGGAAACCTTACCCGAGTCCCTGTGCTCGCTGTGAACACTGTGATCGCTATCGCGATGCCCGGATTGATCGGAATGATCGCTGGAGTCCTGAGGCCAGCACCTAGGTGAACCTATCCTACGCGACCCCGACCAAATAGCGGAGTCGTAATTCGAGTCGAAATTGCAGGTCGTCAAAGTGACGCCCGGGATATGCTGACTAGTGTAAGCCGAGAGTTGATTGGACGGCCGAACTCCTGCACAACGTACAACCTTCGAATCGTAAGATTCGAGAACGCAACAAACGGGGCAGCTAATCTATTTTTTTTTATTCAGCCCGTCAAATACGCCGGTGCGATATTACGGGGAAAAGGAAAGTCGTTCTGCAAAAGGATCGAGTACTTGGAATCGATTATTTCAAATCTTAAATTTCGAAGAGATTAGAATTTGGTCGCGCGAGTCACGCACTTTCGATCCCGCGATCTCGTGGAGAACAATTTCCTTTTGCGTAAAAATCGCACGCGTTGTCATCGCAAATCGTAGTCGCGAGGGACTGAGGCTTTGCTACCTGGCTTGCAAGACAACAGCTGAATGGCTTCCTGGAGACCGTCCTGACTAGCCATCGACGTTTTCCACACCGAGTCAGGCGTGGTCGATCTACTGCGATCCTGCTGGGGCACCCTTAATCGCGACCTCGCGTCCTGGCGCGGCCACTCTATAACGTGCTTGCAGTCCCAGGGCATCGACCAACGTCTCATCGTGCTCTCGGCGGACTCGCCCGACATTTCCGCCGCCGCCGTTTCCGACCATCTCCTCTGAACCTTGGTACACGAAGCCGAGCGTGACGCGCTTATTGTGACGAAGAAGGGTCGCGTGACGAGTTTGCAAAACGAAAAAAAATGTCAATTACCTGCAGAGGGAACAACGAATACGGCAAGGGGGACCTCCGACAATTCTGCGCGGACTGTTGGATGGACGAGGAGGAGATTGGCGGTACCGGCGAGCTGTAAAGACGCTCGAAACATTGCTGAAGCGCGGCGATGTCGCAATCGCCGCTGCCGCTCTGGGAACACGAGCATTCCGCCATGCCACCTGAATAGTCGGAGTCAGCGATTGGAAACAGAACCATTCCCGCCAAAACCGAGACACAATCGTCAACCATCGAAATTTCCTACTTTAATTCCAATTTCTAAAATGCTAGCTCCGAGGGGGAAACCGCTGAGGGCATTGTGGTGTACAGATTTGCGGCATTACTGGGCATTGCTAGGCATTTTTCGGGCATTGGGTCTTGCTGGAGCATTATAAAGATAAAATAAGATAATTGCCCCCCAGTGGGCATTGGTGTACAAGATTTTGGTCAGCGGTTTCCCCCTCGGCTAGCTTTAACGCTAGGTCACCCGTTTTAACCTTTGTCTAAAACAATCTTTAACTCGATTCACGTCTCGACAACTCTATATGACTCGTTTAGAGTCACACGACTTTAATAATGCATGCTTACCCAAGCACTCGCAACAAGCAATGCAGAATTGATATTGCAAGTTTATGAACGTCAAGAGATTTTCCCTGAGAATATCCTGAAAGAACGGAAATACTCTATCAGTTTACGCCGGCAACTTTTAACGACGAAGAGGAGAGTCCGACTGAATGTGAATTACTAACATGCTTGTCCCCGTCATTGTCACGAGACTCATGATCTCTCAGGGCGGTAATCACATGATTCTTAACGGTACTGCTGGCTATGTGCGTAGCCCTCGCCAATTCTTCCCACCCAGCCAGACATTGGCCTGTCAGACGGCACTGCGCCACTGTGTCGTGCGCGGAGAGAAGCGCTTGCAGGGACTGGGCCAGTTTAGTACCAGCTGTACATAGGCCATTAAGTGTCTGTACGAGAGACAATTTTATTGTACACGTGGCAGCACGACGGAAGTACTACCGTAGGCATACGAACCTGTAAGTACGTCAACCAGTTACCGAGGCATTCGTTTATCTCTAACTGACCCCTCGAGATCTGACCGTCGATAGACTTTGGCTCCGTTCCACCTTCAGCCATAGCTGAATTCTTTTAGACCAACTGCCCGGTAGACCTCATCGCTGTCTCGCGCGCAAACACTTGGGGCACGTAAAACGGAGGCACGATAGACAGGTAGGGTTCATCGTGCTCAATATTTTGCAAGCAACGATCTCATGGTAAGCTGAGAATTGATGCACTGACGCGGCGCGGAGCCTTCCTGGAAGGGAACAAAAAAGTAGGCCAGTACGAGGGACGCTCAATTGAAGCCAACGAACCGTCCTTAATTGACAGCAAACTCGGTACTCACATCTTCCTAATCGAATTAACGAACCAAGGATTGGGCTATCGATTGCCTCGCAGGAGAGTCATGATTCTCCGCGTTGGCACCGGCGTCGTCCCTTCGGGTATCCGCCATATGAGGCATCGGAGCACTCGCCTGTGCCTTTACCCCGCTTGTCATCGCTTCGTTGCCCCAACGGAATAGTACTACGAGACCCTGTCAGATGACGCCATTTGATACTTGCAGCTTGGACGACCATTCGGCACGTGGGATTTAAACGACCGAGCTCCGTCAAATGCCAACCATACGCGCTCAACAAACGGAACAAATTAAGCGGAACCGATTTTAATTTATATTTTTTATTCGTTGCTCGTTTGTTGCTAAAAAGATCCGCGTGCGTTTTTAGTGCGGCACGAGCTGTGTCTGCCTTGCCTTTTGCAAGTTTTCATTTTCTTCTGGATATATAAAATTATATAATCACAATTTGTTCCACGGAGGCAATTAAAAGTGAGAACTCGATCAAAGTATTTATGAAAATAATGAGAGAGATGAAACATAAATAAATGATGAGATATAAAAATTATATAATAATTGTTGACTTCTCTAATTGAGTAGTGTTTTACGGAATAAATTGCTGACAATTTTACATAATTTACGCGTGTCACATTATGTCAATACGAATATCCTACACAACACTTTCACGACTTTGTAGCAGCAAAGAGACACAAGATATAATTATTATATAATTATGAGCGCGGATATACAATTGTAATTACTTGTAGCAACCTAAAGATTTTACGGAAGGAAAGCAGACGCGACTTTTCCGACTCGTTAGTCCGTTTCGTGTCTTCAACAACTTGTCTGTAATTACCGCTTTAAAAAAAAGAAAAGTTTCCGTTGAAAGGGGAAAGTTCGCGCGTTTTCTTTATGTTCGTGACGTTAACTCGTCAGAATTTTGTTAAAGCCACGTTTCCATTGTTTAAATATAAATTCTTATCACACTTATTTCAAGTACATGTTAAAATTTAAAAAAAAACAAAAAGACGCCAAAATGAAAATTCTGAGGAAAAAAATTAATTTTTAAGAAAGAAATGAGGCATAAATTAGGACAATTAGAGCACGAAATTTAGGACATTCTGTATGTTTTATTATACGAGCAAGTTGTTGAATTTGCGAAAATCAGCTTTCTGGAATCCTATCGATTAACAACCGCTATCTCAGGACATTTTCATGTTTTTTTAACTACGTCAATTTCGTATTCTAGAGGTGCGACACATCGAGGAGTATCAGCGTGTGCGTGCGTGTCTGTATGCCTCCGTTTCTCGAGTGTCTACGGGGAAGAGGTAAGCCTCGCTGGAGGTGAAAGGGGCCCAAGCTGACGTCGGTAGATGATTAAAAAAGACGGCGAACGAGCGAGGACGGGAGCGGGAGACACCGGAGTGGAAACGCGATCGCGCGGAATATCACGATGGATTTACAAGGGGTCGGAGGAGAGGGCCCGTGAAGTGGCCGGGGGCCGAAGGCCCAAAGAGGGGACTCTTAACGGTAAAGCCGCGGTAACCTTACTGGCGACTTCGCGTCACTGACCACGACCGACGGTGTTTTTTCCCCGGAGTCGATCTCCGCGAAGCCAGCACCCCATTCTTCGAATTTCGCGGAACGTAATTAATAGATTTAGCCACAAAGTTCTAAAGTTTCTGACACGTTCGCACGAAAAGTTGGCAAATACAGAATGCCGACTTTACGTTTTCGTTACACAAGAACTGACAGCTTCATTTAGGACAATAGATTTTAATATCCGTCATAATATTTGTCAGCGATATTCTTGAGGCGCAGTCCAGAAATTCTCTGGTAGAACATTGAATTTTCGAAATATATTGATCTGCAGGAGTTTGGAAAAATGTCCATCCGAGAATTTAAAAATCGCTAAAATTGTTGAGATTATTTTAATAATTTATTTTGCTTGTCTAGCAAAATTTCACTTGGTTCACAATTGTAAGTGAATCTAAATCACAATTGTAAGTGAATCTAAATCAACTTTTTTTTGAAAATTATAATATGTATGTGTCTAAATACGTTTAATCCTTTGCTTAAAAAATAAAAATTTGATTACTGATCACCGGGAATATTCTGTGTTTCCTTAGTCGCGCAATTGTCGATCAATGACTGCAATCGCAATTATACCGGATCGCAATTAAAAAGTGGCCCACCCTCACGACATCATTTACGTTGAAACCGGTCCCTTTGAATGTAACTTCAAAAGGGGGTCGATCGGTCAGAGACGGCGATTTTTCAGTCTAATCCGGTTTTGATCTTATAACTTTGTCGAGTCTCGTGTTTCTAAGCTGTCGAAGGATAATTAGAGCATGGACAGGATTTAGCATCGATTCGCAATGGGGAATTTAAGAAATTTGGGAAACTCTACCGGTTGGCTCGGCGATTTCACGTAAGCCGAAACGATACTCCGTAATTCTCATAACAGAGAAAGCATTTCTTACGAAAACTTTCGAATTTTGCAACGAATTTCAGAAATACCTTTTTTATAAAATCAAAGTTGTTTCGCCGAAATTTTAAAATGAGACACATATTTGTTTAATTTTTTAGATTAATGTGAAAGTTAATTGTTGTGTACGCAAAACAATATTAACGGTAGTATTTTGCATCTGTATGCATTAATTTAGGAAACGGCGGAGAATCAGTAATAATCCGTCAAACATAATATTCGCAATATCGAAACTTTACTGTTCAATTATTCTATAGAATAATGCTTGCATATTTTATAGAATAATTAATTTAATACGAATAATCTATAGGATATGCAAGTCAATCTTTCAAGCTATCCTATTTTTTGTGAATCATCTTTAAAGATTCTATCCTTCCTCTCTTGATAATATTAATTTATCAAAATGACCAAAGTTAATTATTTGCGAACCATGTATGTAGTTGTTGCAAGATAACATTATTATTTCAGTCTTCCCTTGATATAAAGATTAACTCGTGCTTTTTCTTAGGGAAATCCAACTAAAAATGGAAAATTAATCTCTCCTTGTCAAAAAATATTCAGTACTCTTCTCATGACATTTAACGAGAAACGTAACCAAGACGGCTAAAGATATACACGAACATAAAGGCCTAATGAACTAGCTAACGCTGATGTTACGCTACATGAAAACGTAGCAGCAGAACGTAGTTAAACGTAGCTGCTGCTTCGACTCGGCTGGTCGGCTCCGCTCGGCGCGAGACTTTCATCGCCGTGTTCGAGAGAGCAAAGGGGGCCTGAGGCCCGGGGCACTCGACGGTCGACCGGTGAAGGGAACGGATCGTCGTCGGTTGGATCCCGACTCGTTGTACGGCGAGCTAAATCGCGGGTAAAATGTTGTCAAGTTAGTTCCGTCGCAATCGCGGATGTTTCGTTCGATTCACGGAGGTTCGCGCTAATCGAGTGTCATCAAATCCGAGGATATAATCTTGCGGGTCGACAAAGACGGGCAAGGGACCGGGACGCATCATGGAGAACCCCGAAGAAACAGCGATCGCTCGGCAATGCCGCGGTTAGCCGGTCGGTCTAACCACCCGAATGATCCCGGATTGAGTCGTATTCGATTGTGAACAGGGACTGGCCGTCGGTGACGTCAATCGTCAAGGAGGTGTCAAAGAACTAAGCGGGACCGTTCACTGCGAATGCCAATGGTGCGAAACAATTGATCGTAGAATCGTCCAAGCACCTTGAAAGATCAGCGTTGAAGGTACGAAAGGATCAGCTGGAACGAAGAGGCGATTCGAGGAGCGGTCACGCTTTGGTCGAACACGGCGATCTCGTCGAGTTGTCCCACCCGGTGTCTTGACATTGGTTTCATCGAAATACACCTCTCGTGAAAGTTCGCGAGTGCGCAAGTGTTTTCTAGAGGTTCCCCTGTTAGCGGGCGTCCCCCCGCGGATGTTCGCGTGCCGAGGTGGTCCCTGGTTCGCTGGATCGTCGATGTGATCGTCCCGCCGACTCGTGGAGAATGATCTTGGTGTACGGGATCATCCTACCCCTCGTGGGAAGTCTCGCGTACGCACAAGGCACGTATGTCACGATACACGTAGGCTCGCCGATTTGGAAAGTGACTCGGAGTAGAGGCAAGGGTCGGGCTTAAGGGCGTTGATTAAAGAATTGGAGGTCGGAGCCACGCGGCTAAATTGCATTGCAGTCGATATCGCAACGTATATTTTTGTCCAAGGGATTTAATGGAATCGCGTGGACTTGCGTAACGATAAATATAGACTACTATCGACTCGTTTCTCACTTGGAAGTCATACGCGACATTTGAGAGTGAAGAAATCTACCTCGACGATGAAAACGTGTTGCAAGGTTACTATCCTCTGCAATTTATCAACTTGGAACGTGAGAGATCTTGTTAATTAGGCTTCAATTTAGATTCCCAAATTTCGATATCGAGAAAAATAACAATCCGAATTTGTTAGCTTCAAGTACGCTAAGAGCGTGGATAAAGGATTCCTCAATCTTTTTATCTTTGCCCAATCACTTGAGACTTTATTGCTGCATTACGCCACTTTCGACTTATATTTTCCATCGTTCTCTCTCTCCTTTCCGCGAACAAGTTAAAAAGGCGGTTGCACAATTCAGATATATATCGGGGTGCTTCAAGCGAGGCAAATCCTTTCGCGTTCCCGCGAGACAAAAAAAAAGGATACGCGTCTTACAAAGAGGATCTTTCCTGGCTGAGAGCCTTCTATCGCTCGCGATCGATCTCTCGCGAAATGCAAAACAGACGTAAGTACGCGTGCATCCTCCCTGCGTCTCTCCGAGTGGCGTCCTACTCGAGAGAGTGCATTCCCCGAGTGCAGCACTCCCAATGGCAAGACTCTTCTACAGATACGTCGGAATGAATCTCTCTCTAAACATTTACTTAGCTACTTTATCTGCGAGTCGTCTATCTAGAAAAAAAAGTCCCGGGCGAATGTGCGTACGGAATTAAGAATAGCTGTAAACGGACGATCCGCGTTGTCCTCCGCGAGTGACCAGCATAACAAAAATTCTTTAACGGGCGCAAGATTGAGAGTGACTGCTAGCCAGAGAATATCCGCTTGTTTTTCTCGCCTCGTGACAACGACCCTCCGTCGAAACTGCCGAGCGCAGCCATGGAAATTCGCTTATGGAATCCTAGAAGAAGGAAGGTAAAGGATTCCTTCCTTCGACGGGCTCGCGTTTTATCCGCCTTGTCCCTGGCGAGCATGGAAAGGAGAGTAAGCGAGCAAGAACAGGTACCGCCCACTCTCGGTTCCCGTCCTCGCCGTGTGGTTTTCTGGTGTCTCCCCCGAGGTCACCCGGTATATCCGTAGATAAAGTCCTGCCATTGGCTCGTATCGCGTCTCGCATTCTCCCGGTTCGCGAAATGGCTAATGTCGAAAATGCCTCCTGTCACCTTTTTTTTCCTTCCTTTCTGCCATCGCGGGATATCATAGATGCTGTCTCGGGACCGCGAATACCTCGTCTCTAAATGCCAACGGGTAAAAGTCCCGGGATACGCTTATCCCGTTCCACTTCACGACGTGCGTTTCGTTGCGTTAATTCGTGCGATACATTATTTCTTTTTGTCGCGGCCACAAATGCCACGAATTAAAAGTGTTCTGCGCCGCGCATTCTTTCCGCTTAATATAATTATACATTTCGCTATGACGCAAACGGGTACCGCCCGCCAGTAATTCTCGCATGTGAGAATGTGGGTAACACGTGCGATGATAAATGAGTTCACGCAATCTCGTAGACCTTGATTACGCGATTAGAAAAAAAAACATTGACAAGAAATGTATAGCAAGTACGAGAAGCGAAGCGAAGAGGTTCCGAATAAAAATTCGCCGTGTCAAAATTCAGAGCTGTGTGCCTTCTCGGTCATTTCAATGCGAAACACGCGTCAAACGATTAGACTAATCTCTACGAAACGGTGTTTAGTCGCGACTGTGTTAAAGCAACGTCAATGAAGTCGAAATTAAATGAGATACGTGGCGGCAGTGCACTTCGGGAGTGAGTCAGAGGGCTAAAATTTCACATTGTACGCGGCAGGGCGCACCGGAAGTAGGGGAGACGCACCTGTCTCGGCCGAAACACGATCTGCCGGCGACGTCCGACCTACTTTGCACTTCGAAAACCTTTTATTTTCCCCGTAGGAAATAAACGGGATCAAAACTAGACCGGCGGCGCGAGAAACGGGATATGTAGATGATACGTTTTATGCGAGCCGCTTTTACATATTTCCACGAACCGTTATCCTTGAAACGTCGAGTTATCTAACGACGTCTGGGGAACTAGGTAGATCGTGTACCCGATCGCCCGCTGCGATCTGCTACTGTCACCAGATTGATTTCGTCCTTCACGAGCCCGTTGCCGCATATTTCTTCCACGATGCATACGTAACATCGATAATTCCATTGGGAAAATGCAATCTCCTTGCATGAACGATTAATCGCTTCTAAGGAATGTTCCAAAGTATTCGAAAGTAAATACCGACTGCTTCTTTTGTAACGAGCGGGATATTCTCTGTCGAGAAGTAAAATGTTCCCCCTTCGGCAACGAATCTGCCTAATAAATTCCCAACAAAACGTGAGACGTAAACAGTATTGAAATTGTGATAAACTAAGCGATTTGGACGCGGCAAAATTCTCAAGTACAGTAAATGCACGAAGAGATTAATCTCAAATGAGAGATCGGCTAATTAAAAGAGATATTCCGACAAGTATTCAGGTTATTGAGAGATCCACTAGATCCACTTGAGAGCTCGATGGTTGCCTGAACTTTCCGTTATATCGAGCAGAATCGAAGCGTGGGAGGAGATTGGCGCTGACCGAACAGATTCCTGGATCGGCAACACTCCTGCGCCCCAGAAGTAATCGACCGGTAACGATCGGCGGCAGGCGTGAATTCCTAGGCGAGTTACCTGCTCAGCTGAGCCTTCAAAATTGCGGAATGGAAGTCGGCACGTACGATAAAAACGCAATTATAAAAGTAAAAGTCCCATTTGCGACAACTAATAGCGCGGCAAATTGTAAGGGAATAAACCAACAATAGGACCGTACGACTAGAATCGTATTAAAAAGTTGCATTCGCCACGCACTTTTAAACTCTCACGATATCTCGCTAGAAAGGAGTCTCGACGGGCATGAAATCGCTTGTTTAGCAACAATATGCTTGATATAAGGTTCGCAGAGAAAACTGGTCCTCGCGCCGACGAGCGTAATATGCGTATGCACGCGCACGCGCACGAAACGCGGCCGAGAAAAGCGCTACTTCGTGAAAGTGCTCCGCGCTATTTCAAAATTCCGACGGCGATTCTTCTCTCCGCGGTTTTCTCCTAACCGTTGCGAGAAAACCGGCCGTAATTCGTAACGACGGAATTAGTTTGTTCGCCGATTGTCCCTAAATCTTTACGATCGTCCGCAGAACGAAACTATATCCGCGGTTAGACTCTCTATTTTAAGGTAACGGTGACTGTCATTGAGTGCAAGTCGCCGGAGGCTGCATTATGAATCTCAATTAAGAAAAGATGCACCTCTCGAATTGACGGAGAGGCAGAACGAGCGAATACTCGGGAGACCGGATGATTCACTGCACATTGCAAATATTAATGTCACACCTAAGGCAATCCATAATTTCTATGACGACCAGTAACATATCACAATACTTTTTCGCGTTGTTCTCAGTGGGGGGGGGGGTAGTATCTGCCTGTCTGCGAAGACTAAGCGAGGGATAAGTCCGCGTTTACGATTCAGATAAGTATAACTTACAACGCCAACTTCGCTTCCACCTTCGACTCGCACCAGCCCTGCCGGCTGGATTTTGTAATCCGCGAGCCTCCTCTCACATCTCTTTCTCATTTTTCACCTTTACATCGAGTGGTGCTTGTTCGCGCCAAGTGTCGGGACGAGATAGCCGAGTTCGCACGCTGCCGATCGCCGCCGATCCGATCGGCTCGCGGGTGGCAGGTCAGTGCGATTGCCCTACATAACGTTCACGCTCGCGACGGTAAGTAAAAACGTCGTCCTCGGCGGAGAAGGGAGAGAAACCCTTTTCCCTCTCCGTTCCGGGAAAGAGGAAGCGGACAGACGAGATACGCTGGGACGATTGTAACATTTAGCCATTAGAGCTGCGCCGAACCCGCGCGAGGGAATGCGAAGCGTGCAATGAACATAATCGAACTTACCGCTTGGGTGGGGTCCTTGAGATGCGGTGCTGATGCAGACGCCGTGACGGGATGCAAATAGCCGGCATTTCTGCTCGATTCGTTTCCGTCTTTCAAGGAGAAAAAAAGGATGCAACTAGAACATGTCATATATGAATTGATTCATTAGCTAAAGTTGTAACCCGAATCGGCGCGCAGTTTAAAGCCGGAAAACAGACGCGAGGATGTCATCTGTGTACCGTTATTGCGACACGGAAAAAAATA